AAGATTGTATAATTTAATTTTTATTTTAGCGAAAATCGTACGAAAACTGAAAATTTAAATTAAATATTCATTTTCAGATTGGAGAAAATACATTTTGTGTTCTCTTGCCCAGCTAGTTAAATTGTTCTTCGCCGAGCAAAAATGTTTACTTTTCATGGCTACTTTTCGGTAATTTTGTTATCTTGGACAACAAAATCCCTAGAAGATATATGTTTCTGTTCATTAAGTATCGGATATAGATATTGTCCTAATGCAACAAAGAAAAAGTCTTTGCATGCCCATTTTTACATGATAATAATTATACAATGACTTCTAAACCTCATAAGTTATGGGGAAAATTGGAAAATGAAGCAAACAATATTCATTTTTGTCATTGCGAATCGGATGACAGATTGTTAACCCTAAGCAGTAGTGTTCACATTTTCTTGAGTAGCGTCGCCCTTATAATAAATATATATATATATATATATATTAATGATATAAGTAAGTATCATTATGTTACGTACCATTAGAATAACATTTTTACATTGATCATGAAAATTTCATCTAAACCAACTTTTATCAATTTGGACAAATGCAATCTTTATTAGGTTGGCACACATACCACCCGCGACTAAACCAACATTTTTATTCCTTTGGCTCTATTTTTTTTTTTGGTTAAAAGGTTGATTTCATTACCATAATAGAAAGTGTATATGCTTCACCTTTCTATATCAACAATACATATGATCTACATTTTAATGGTTCCATTTTAATTGTTCATTCTATTTAACTGAAACAGTACAATAAAGTTGACTATGGCCGGAATGTATAATTAAATGTGTCAAGGACAAAATTGATTAGCTAGTTAAATTTGTCCCGTTAAAGGAGCTAATTGCTATCCGGAATGGATTAATTTCTTCATCAAGGGAAAGACAATGGGCGCGGTTACATTCAAGAAGAAAATTGAGCAAATCGCACGTAATCACGAAGCAGATAACATTAATTCTTTATATATATATATATAAAATATATTCTGGTCAACTAAATGTACTAGGACTTGCTTGAATTTTTTTTTTTTAAAATCATTTTCTTATTAGCCAGACTGAGAACAAAAACAATAAAGTATTTCACTGTCACACGAACTAAGACACTAAAAAAAAGGAACAAAAAGGCCCAAATAGTATTGTGGGATTTGAATAGTTGACAATTCTAAGTGGATTTCCATGGAGATGTCTAGTTATCTTTTACGGCCGTTGACTTGTTAATTATGTATGCGCTCTAACAATACGTTATAACCGAATGAAGAAATCAGTTGTGTTTCAGTCTAATAAGTCGGTATCGAAAGAAAAAAAAAAGGGGTCGAACAAGTAGGCCGCAGAATTGTAATGTGCATTTACCTTAGACTATTTCATGCATGACTGCTTCAACAATTACACCCTTTCCTTTTATTTATATTTTCTTTTTACAGAGTGTTCATACAATATCATCATTTATATTTAGAATAATTGATATTTTCAAAATAAATCTCGGTGGCTGTATAATTATTAAGGACGATTGAAAGTTTATGGTATAGGTAATAGACACTAGCTAGGTACGTACTAGGTAACATAGTTTAATTATCTTTGAGATGAAACAACAGAATAACAAAATAGAAAAAAAAAAAAGATGATAATTAAAGAAGTGGAACAAGTAAAAGAGACAGGAAGTCAGGGAAGAACACTTGAGAAGAAGCAAAGCCATGAATGAGGTTGCCAACTTTGACCTTCACAGTGGACTTCGACGTGGTGGCGCACAGTCACTCCTTTTTTGCCTTTTTTTTGGTTTTTATTATAATATATTTTTATTTTGTATATATATATATATTTACATATTACAAAATACAAACGCATCCTGATATAAATTCATATATTTACTATTCGAGGGTAAATGGTATGATTAATCACGCAAGTTTTGCTTCGGTCACTTAATTACTCAATAAATGTAACAACAAAAAGCCAAGTTTAAGGTTATGATATAAAGAAAAAAGAATGATTGAAAGAAAAATTTACTTTGTTTGTTTTTTTTTTTGGATGGTTTTTTCATAATAATAAAATAATAACCGTCCCATTCCAGCATACATTTTTATATTTATAATGCACTTTTTCACATTTCTATTAGAAAAAACACCTAAAAACACATACTAAAAAACGAAACAAACATACCATCAGGTTGATTTTCATGACATTGGACAATTATTAATTGCACGAAACAAAACTTCACTATGGGTGTGGACTACAGAGCATTGACTGTAATATTTACTCAACAAGTGTAAAAAGTTACGTGCCATTCGTTTGGATATTGTACAATTCTAGTACCGTTTAAAAGGTCGACGGTCAATATAGAATGGAAAAAGTGTTAAAACTAAAATTGTACAATAACTAACTAAGTCAATACACAAACAAAGGCCACAAAATAATTTTAATTTTTATTAGAAACATTCCTTGGCTTAGGAATGAGGAAACATGTACCACTTGAATCACCATTTATTCATGTTTGATCATGAAAGATGGTAAGCAGGTACATACCTAACTCAAAGTAAGTGGGCATAAGTGTAAGTTCAACATTACATGAAAATCGGGTACAATTATTTAAACTCATTTCGTTTTAAAATAAATATCATATTTATTATACTATAATAATTAAAGAAATTGTAATTTTTTTATCATGGGACGAATGGGGTTGCATATCTACCAAAAGAACTTCGCTTCCTTGTTTCATTTGGAGCTCGAATTGAGTTTCTTTACAATTTCGAGAAATTATGAGAAATAGTGCGTGATTGTGGGTTTGTGGTTGCGAATATAAAGAATTAAGATCGTACATATGGTAGTTGAATTTTGTGAAAATTCCTTCACTAATACGAAATTACGACTTTGAAAGTTATGAGTCATGAGGACAGCTTTAATTCTTAGTTTTCCAAAACATCATATTCAACCCTTTCGAAGACATTTATAATAAATAAAAACATTCGATCAATAAATTACAAAAAAGTGCGTTTGTCCAGTTCTAAGAAAACGATATTTGCTGCAAGACAATTATAATCTTCTTCCTTGATACGCTATGGTTTGATTTTGAATAACACTAAAAAGGTTCATTAAATTATCAAACGTCTAATGGCAGATGTCATCATTGAAATGGGATGAGTTAAAATGATTTCACCCACTTCAGTCAACTAATCACTGCCGCCTTAGCTAGCTGTGCACCGCCGTCTTCCCGGCATTTGGTGGCGGAGGGATTCTTATTGATTCATGTTGAATGGGCCAAACCAATCACTTTGTAACATTATGTATTCATACATAGGAAATTAACCATTTCACTTACCATTGGCAAAAAAGTTTAATTAATCATGATAGATTCTCAATGAGCTAACACAATTTAACAAATTTAATCAAATTAATCAACTGTAAAGCTAAAATGATCTGTGATCAAGTTGAGAAAAATATGAAGAGCCACGACGGAATATGATAAAATTATTCAAAACTAAAACGGTACGATAAGTTTGATGCATAGCAGACCATATAAATAATTTTTGTATCCACGTTTTAAATAAGAAATATGCATACTTATTAATGATCATGATACTGAATTTCGCTCAGGGTTGACCTATTTTATTTGAAATGAATTAAGGATCCTCTTTTTGGGCACCAAGGAAACATTTTTTTTTTTTACTGAACACTTTAAATTAACAAATGCGATTGCATTACGAGAATGAAAGAACAGGTGAAATATAATCGTATTAAGATTAATAATTCGATTGTTACCTAAAAGTATGTTGTAGTTGAGTGGAACAGACTAAACATTCATCCTTAACTAATTAATAATTTGTGTGATTTGGAACCTGTCTTCGACATGGAGACGTTTTACATATTAATTTACTCAGATATTCATCTACGTAAATACTTATGATTCAGCTACATTTTTTATTATTATGTAAAAACATACATTTTTACTATGACTAACACATGTTTCAAGTGATAAAACAGCGGGACGAACATTACACGCTCAACCAAAAGTTATGTCAAAAAGCGAAATCATATTCCTTCTGTCTCAAATTATTGTCGAGTTTGTATTTATATTTTTAGTTTAACTGAACTCAGTTTCAGTTGAACTAAAACTAAAAATGTAAACTAGACAATAATCTAGTTGAACTAAGAATGAAAATGTAAAGTAGTGGACAATAGTTTTAAGACAGAGGAGTAATATTTATCAAATAGGACTAAAACATATTCGTGTGTGCACACTAATTGATTTCAGACATAAAAATTACCTTGACTAAAAATTCTTAGTGTTCTCCAAAATATGTACTCTCTATTACAAAATTATTGTCTATATAAAATTTTCACTTTTAGATACTAGAAATAAAATTATATCTTAATCTCTCCATAGCATATAGCACTCCTGTCCATTGATTTGAAACGGTCCACCGTTTTGAACCATTTTAATTCCATAATGTAATCTATTCTTGGGGAAGAGGAAATCGGACAAATAATTATTTAAACTGTTAATAATTAATGTCATCTTGTCAAGTAAAAATTGGATCTTTATGAATTTCGTAAGTATAATGTTGAAAGAAGTTTCCTCCGAAAGAAACCGACTGAATCAGTGAGGATTAATCTGAATCCCGTAATTAAATCCATATGTAAATTTTTATTTTTATTTTTTTAAAAAAAGGGGGAAAAGAAAAGAAAAAAAAAACCAAAAAAGGTTCAAACTCAGCCTGATCAAGCCCCCAATTTGTAAACGGTCTTCTTAGGGAATAAAAAAAAGAAAAACAGAAATACAAAAAAAAGAAAAAAAAGGTGTCTTTCCTGGAAATTGCTGTAACTTTACCGGACCTTATAGATGAGCCACTCATCAGATGGCAGATCTCTCAAATCAGTCATTATCACAATTTAACTGGTCAAGGTCAACAATTGAAACGTACGTCCATTTCCCTCTTTAAACAATTTGTTTGTTTGAAAGTTTGTATCGAATCAAATCAAATCAAACTCTAGGACGACTCTGATCGACAAAACCTCGGAATATATAGACTTTGTACTCCTATAAATATAAGGTTGTTGTTGTTGCCCAGGTTCATTCCCTCGTCTCCCACAAATCTGCTTTACATTTTTTCTTTTTGTTCAGAGAGATTAAAAAAAAAAAAAAAGTTTAGAATAGAAAAAGAGGTAAAACTAGCCCACAAAATATCATGAGTTCAACAGCTACTACTATTACTACTAGTGAGGAAGAAGGATTTGTTCTTCCAAATATTCCAAATGAGTGGTTAGATTATTTCAACCACCAACAATTCATGGAGGATTTCGACGTTCCCTTCGACGGCGGCATCCCACTTGCGGCTGTTTCCCACGATACCAGCTTCGAAGACGATGTAGTTTATCTGGGCTCCGACAACATCTATAACAATACTTCCCAAGGCGGCGGCTCTGATACAGCCGCCGGTTTGAAGGTAAGTGGTTCTGCAGGCGCCGCCACGGCGATCAGCCCGGAGAATTCAACCGGGGCGAGTAATAATCACATAAGTCAGGTGGATTATTTGAGCCCGAAAGCTAAACAGGTGAAAAGAAGGTCTAGAGCTTCCAGGAAAACTCCGACGACTTTGCTGAATGCTAGCATCAAGAATTTCCGAACAGTTGTGCAGCAGTACACCGGATGCCGGAGCTCGAACTCGGGTTTCAACGGAAACGGAAAAGGGCCGATCACATTGAGCTTCGGTCCTCCGAAGAATGATTTTCCGGGATCGCTTGGTTATGACTATTTCAATACCACTCATGAAAATCTGGATGATCACCAGCAGATGATCAACTCATTCGCTGACTACTAAATTCCGGCAGCCCGCCTTTCGGATTTCTTCCTCAAGTATACCAATCTGATTTTTCAGGTACAAAGAATATGCCAAACCAAGATCAAGGAAGGGAGACAAAAATATTTTCTTGATGGTTTTCTTAACATTGTTCTAGAATTTTTTCTGTTGCGACTAGGAATTTAAGTAGTTGATGGTGCTTTCTTTCAGCATCGCCGGCGGGGTTTTCTTTCCTTGGTTTAAGAATCAAGTTTCCACCCTTGCTATCTAGCTCGTGAAGGAATCCGTCATCTTGCATTGTACAACTTTTGTAGAAATGGACTGTCTTAATGGAACAAAAATTCTTTTGTTTTTCTAGCTCTTCTTGTCTTGAACTTAAATCTTGATAATAAGGATGCAAATTTTCTTTATTATTAAATTGTACTTGATATAGAGTTAGTATATTCGCTGATATAGAGTTAGTATATTCGCTGTCCTATTTTTTTTATTTATAAAATTATTTTTTAATTAAAAAGAAATCTTGATAATATATATTATTTTAGGGTTACAACTTTAGTAATATTGTAATACAATCAATTTTTTTAAAACTTTTTTTTCATTTCGAATATTTCTTGACTTAAATGAACACGACAATTATGCAAATCAATATCAATCATTCCCCCGCATAAGCGAATTTTCTTGCGCATGCTACCCAATTAGCAGCATCGACCAAATTCCAAAGCCATTACAGATTTGATATAATCATGTGCTTTTACCATTGCCAAAAAAAAACGAAAAAGAAAAAAAAGTCTCAGAATTGTATCTAAAATCTCGGTACCAACGCAATTCCTAAATTGAATGTGAACTATTTTAGAGAAGAGAAAGTGATAATTAGTTGGATTTGATCTTTTATATATATATATATATATATATATATATATGTATATGTGTGATTAGATTGAATTTGATAGGCAATCAGAACTGATATAATTCCCATGAATTGTGGTCTCGGGATAGGTTTCCACTGTAATAAACATAAGTACATAACTGCATGTGTTTGCCGGTCTCTGATTTCTAACAAAGGCTATTTTACTCTTTTTTTTTTCTTCTCTTTTAGTAACAACAACCAATCACACAATGACAGCGGGGGAAGATCTTATATTCAGGTAATTCCAAGGGGTAGCTTAAGCGAAAAGGTTAATCACATTTGCGCCAAAATTCAAAGATACCTCCCAAAACTTGCACAGAACGTTTTCCATTTTCCTGGAAGGTTGCAGTTTTCTTTATTGTACCTTTCCCTTTTACGAACTGATTTCAAGAAATCAGCAAAGGAAAAGAAAATGAATGCAAGAGAAGTGCACGCGGTGCGCTGTTTTTCTTTACGTCTGAAACAAAAAAGAGAGATGGAAGTCTCGAAATATTTACTGAAAACACAATTGCATGAATACCTAAATATAATCAAAACCGCTGCTCAATTTAGTAGTCATTCCTTTTTATTTCGATAGTCTTTTTAGTATACTGTATTATCTCAATAAAGTAGGCTAATGAAATAGATTGGAGGGGCAGTATTAAGCGTATTCACACTTATAATTAGTTTATTTTTAATAAACTTCGTAGATGAATTCATAATATTTTGTCTCTCATGATGCAAAATTTACACATATTTGATATTTTCGGACTTCAGCATGTTATCTTGTTAGACGTAATGGCTTTAACAAAAGTTCAGACGAATTAATAGTAAACCTTAGATTTCACACCTGCGATGTCAAGCACCTAATTTTAAACGAATTAATAGTTCTGTTCCTAAAAAATAAATACTAGTGTTGTCAATGCTAATTTAGATGTCCACATCTTAGTACAAATTAAATTAAGTAAACCATTAATTACCTCAGCATTAGTTTTTGTGATGTAAGTAATAAAGTTCAAATATTTAATAAACGTGGTTAATTTGGTCCATTCAACGTGAATCACTAAAAATTATGTTGGAAAAAATCAACGTCTTGCATTTAGGAAATTTCCAGATTTCTGAAAAGGTTTTGGCTTTGGTTGTTCCTGCTTCTTGGGGGTTTTTTTTTTTAATAAAAAAATTGTTTTCAGATTTTCGAGAAGTATAACTTTTATTTTTATATTTTGAAATACACACAGAAATGGTTAAGGACTTATAGTGGATTCATCCATCCTTACGTATAATTCGGGTATTTCGATCTCCTAGTAAATATTGGCTAACCTTAAATGTTTTCATCAAATGTTATAAATTTTTAACTATTTACATGTTTACAAGTTATCTAGAAGATTAGTTAACCCAACACTTTTTTGACGCCAAGAAAAGAACCCCCGAAAGCTTCAACGTTGATAGAATATGGAAATAATCGAAACTCTAATTAGGGTTTTCTATGTAGACGACTAGAGTTATTACAATATCGTACTATAAATACCACAATGTATCATGTGAATAATACACACAATAATTCTTTCATGGTATCATTCTTCTTTCCTGGCCTCTCAATTTTTTTAGGGTTTCTGCCGTTAATTTTTTTTTTCTTTCTCTCTTGCCGGCTTACACCGCCGTCCGCTTTCTTTTCTTCTCCGCCGAACCGCCGAAGAAAATTGCCGTCCGTTCACACAAAATCACACACTCCCAAAATCGAACCCGGCCTCCAATTCCTAATTTCCCAAAGTCACACACACACACAAACCTTCTTCTGCCGCAAATTGGGCTTCCTTCCCCCTGCTGCAGAACCCTTCCCCCCTTCTTCCGCCGCGCACAGAACCTTGCTGCAGATTTGCCAATTTTCAGTTTTTTGTAGTTTCAGTCCTTTAAGTTTTTAGAAATTCCAAATCAGTCCCCATAGTTTTTTCTATTTACGGAAATTATCCCTAAACTTTTTTATCTCTGTAAATCAGTCCAGACAGGTTTGGTTCTTAAAAAAAAAAAAAACCAAACACAAATCCCTGCCGCTATGACGAACTCTGCCGTGACCTCTGCTGTCTCACAGCAAACTGATCTTCAATCAACCGAGGCCATGACAACCAATTCTTTTCCGACACCACCTTCTCATTCGACTATTGGTCTCTCTAACATCAAGAATTATGTGACTCCCATTCTGGATTTCACAAACTACATGCTATGGAAAGAGCTTTTTCTTCCTATCTTTCGCGGACATGCCGTGATTGGTCATATTGATGGCTCCGATCCTTGTCCTCCATCAACTCTCGCTGCCTCTGACAGCACTTCCTCATCCAATCCAAATCCCACTTTTCAAACTTGGACCCAAATTGACTCCATTGTCCTCTCTTGGATCCAAGCTACTGTTTCCACCGAAATTTTGCAAGCCATCGTTCGACCCAATTCTTCCCTTACCCCCCGCGATGCGTGGCTCACCATTGAGAAACTCTTCCACGATCAGCTTGGTTCCCGCCTTCTCCAATTGAAATTGGAGTTTCATACCTTAAAGAAAGGGGAATTAACCATTAATGAGTATGTTACCAAGCTTAAGATGTTGGCCGATTCATTAAGAGCCGTCGGTTCTCCCATCTCCGACGATGACTTGGTGCTTCAAATTTTGGCTGGTCTTCCTTCGACCTACCAGTCTGTCTCTACTACCATTAGCCATCGCGTTCCTTTACCCAACTCCGTTGAAGCTCGATCAATGCTCTTCCTGCATGAAGTGCAACTTCAGCACACTGCTCCTTCTTCCCTCACGGCTACCACCGCTCTGGTCGCGGCATCTTCCACTGACCTTCCACAGCATCAGTCCAATACCCCTTCTCAACAGCAGCCGTCTTCCAATCGTGACCGTGGCAGGGGTCGCGGTTTTCTGAATAATCGGGGACGTGGCCGTGGCCGTGGACGCAACCAATTTTTTGGTCAGTATCCCTCCTCATTTTCTGCACCTTTTAATTCTTATACAGCTCCTATGTTTACTCCCAGGCAACATGCTCCTTCTCTTCTTGGCCCGGCTCCCTCTTTTCAGTCCAATCCCACTGCTGTTCGTTGCCAATTGTGCAATCAACTCAATCACTCTGCTCGAGATTGCTATCAATTTCAACAGCCCGCTTACTTTGTGGGTCACAATAATCGGCTTTCTGTTCCCCCATCTGCTGATTCCTCCTGGTATATGGACACTGCTTGTGGTAACACTATGACTCCTTCTCAAGGTACTCTCACTAATTCAAAACCTTATATTGGTACTACTCGAGTCATTATTGGTAATTATCATTCTTTATCTATTCAATCCGATGGTCAACTCTCTTGTTCTCAGTTCCGTTTTCCTAATGTTTACCATGTTCCTTCGCTTACAAAAAATCTAATCTCTGTGCATCAATTTTCCACTGAAAATCAATGCTCTGTTGAGTTTGACCCTTTTGGTTTTTCTGTGAAAGATCTTTGGATGAGGACCCCTCGTCTACGTTGCAATAGTACTGGTTCTTTATACATTTCCACCCTCACTGCTCCATCCATCCCTTGCACCGCCTTCTCCGTCTTGTCCGGTGTTTGCTGCTTCCGTCTCTTCTCAATTACGGAATCAACGCCTTGGTCACCCGCATGCCTCCGTTTTGTCCAGTTTAGTGTCTAGTCGAAGTCTTCCTGGTTCCGTGATCTTTTCCAATAAACTTAGTCTTTGTCAGGCTTGTCAAATTGGGAAGCATCATAAGCTCCCTTTTATGCCGTCTTCTTTGGTTACTTTTCGTGCTTTTGATATTATACATACAGATGTTTGGACCTCTCCGTATCATTCGTTTAGTGGTTTCAAGTACTTTGTACTCTTTCTTGATGATTTTACTCATTATTTATGGGTGTATCCTCTTAAAAATAAATCCGAGGTTCCTCAAAAGTTTGTTGAATTTTATACTCTTGTTCAAACTCAATTCAATGCTTCCATCAAAACTCTTCAATCTGACGGTGCAGCTGAATATGTTTATTCTCATTATCTTCAATCTTTTCTTAAATCTAAGGGGATCACAATGCGTATCTCTTGTCCATACACTCCTCAACAAAACAGCAAGGCTGAACGCATGAATAAAACACTAATCAATATGATCCGCACGCTCCTGCATCAAGCTCACTTACCCCATGCATTCTGGGTAGAGGCTTTACATACTAGTGTCTATCTGTTAAATCGTGTACCTACTAAATCAAAAACTGGGGCCATTCCTTTCTCCCTTCTCTTTGTTCATCCACCTAACTATGGTTCCTTAAGGGTTTTTGGGTGTTCCTGTTTTCCCAATCTTTCTCATTTAGCTTTTCATAAGCTCCATCCTCGCTCCGCTCCATGTGTCTTTCTTGGTTATCCTGAATCTTATAAGGGCTATCGTTGTTTTGATCCCGCTTCTAAGAAAGTCTATACTTCCCGTCATGTCGTTTTTGATGAAACCTCTTTTCCATTTCCTCAACTATCTTCGGTTCCCCAAAACAATCCTTCCCAATCTCCTTTTAAACATCCCTCGTTCATTATTTCACGATCCCTCCCTTCATCAAAATCCTCTTCATTGG